ATATTAGAATAGAATATTGGAAGACAATATACTACATTTCTTTGATAAAGGAGTTTTTTCAATAAAAAGATAATCTAAAACATTAATAATTACCAGACAACAAAGAGTGTGTGTGTGAGAGAGAGAGTGAGAGAAAAGAGAGAGTGACAGGTATTGTGCCTTATATAAAACAAGTCATATGGCTTATTCCCTAAATGCCTGAAGCTACAGCATTTTAAAAAAACAATTCAAAGCCTCACTTTACAAACTAATTTGGAGCCTATTGTGCAAACATTTCCTTGTCCGCTATAAGATCCGGGACAGATACACAGCAAAAAAAGAAAGATAACTTTCTTCTACTTTTTATTATTAAGGTAAGTTTAATCCGATCATTTAACATAACCAACAAATGTGCTGCAGAAGAATTCAAAAAGATTGAAACGACAGAATTGGAAGACAAGATACTACATTTCTTTGATAAACTTAGCTATTTAACGAATTTTTTCAACTAAACAGAGAATCTAAAACATTAATAATTACTACACAAAAAGCTTATTAAGATTAATGTTATGCCAAAGGATATTTAAATAGTGTTATGCCTAGATATAGCAATATATTCGGCCTAAGTAGATCAATCTAGCATAAATATTTTCTCATTAATATTATTATAATTTTCTGTAACCTACAATGGCTTTAAAAATCTAACTGGGATATGTCCAAATACAGATACATTAATTATTTTAATTTTTATTAATTTGTTATATAAATACCTCAGTTATGAAAAACAAAATTGTCTTCGCACGTTTAATGGGAAAACGCAAAAAAAACAAACAATTTTCTCAAATTCTCGGCTCACCCTTAGCGTACGCTTCTCTCCCCAGACATCTCATGCGTCCCATTTATAACTCAATTTAAAATTGTGCACAATTTTGTTTTTCCCTGACGTATTAAATTAATATTGACACATTGACAGCTGCTTGTCCATCAACGGCACTCAACAATATTGAAGTTGGTCTGCCGATAGAAAGAAAAACGTGACCGCGCTCACCCCCCACACACATCCCCCCGCCCTACAACAATCGTGTCAATGTGTCTAGACGGCAACAGAGGCAGCAACAATTTTCCGCTGTCGTCGATCGACCACCCGCTGATTGCTCCGATATTCAATACTATAGCAGTATTCAGCAGTAAGGCTGCGGGCCTCACGAAATTCGCCTCGAACTCAAAAATTTGTGCGTTAATCATGCGCAACGCGCTTTTGGTGAAATTTTTAATTGCCAAACCAACTCGTACATACAAATACATGGAACTATATAGGTATATATAGTTTGAATGCTTTATGTTTGTATTTATTTCTGACTGGCTTCGTGGAAATCGGCAGTGTCATCATTGATGGGCATGGGCATTGGGGTGTGTGCGTGTGTGCCTCAAATATTGTTTGTTTTTATCTCTGAACTGCGCCTGGGAAATGTGCGCTTTAATTGATACGCACATAGAGTATCTACAAATGGCACATCACACAATGGGAAACACAAAACGTATCTATTAGTTTTTCCTAATTTGGTGCGCGGGATTGAAGTGCAAACTAAACATTAAATTGGCGCAAACTAACAAATTGTTTGGATCTGTTACTAGGGTTGGGCTTGCCGCTGAAAACGTTTCATAGTTATGTTATCCAATTAAATTATAAAGTTCGGGCAATTTGTTGTTTGCACCTCGTAAAAAATGGATGCTCGATTGATAAATGTGATGAATTCTAGCTAGGAAATGCAAGTAGAATGCTGATTGATTCCCATCTATATATGACTTATTTAAGAATTGCTTAAATACGTTAATGGTGGGTTTTCTATTTTTATAAATAGTTGGGCAATTTCATTTGAATACAATTAAGAGCGTGCCAATCCAATAATAAAGAAAATTAGGTTTCAAATACGACATAGATTAAGATAATAATTGCATGTGTACTAATTCATATTTTCATATTCAATTTATTGTCTTTTGTGTAGCTATAAAGCTGTTATTGCAAACTTATGTGAATGGACAGTTCTGAAATACTTTTAGAAGTAGACTGGCTTCAGTGCCAATTAACTGCCGCTCTGACTGAAGCATAAATATATTCTTAAAACGTTAATATCGGAAAAAAAAATCAAACATTTATTTATATTAGAACTGTGAACTTATACTAAAATTCATCATTTTATTACACTGATATACAAGTTTTTTTTTGCTATTTGACTTTAAAGTTAGAAGGTAGGGATAAAATGTGCCACAGAAAATGAAAGTTATGCGACAAATATAAATCAATTTTTAGCAAAAACATGTGCCAAATTTTTTATGCGTTCATGCTACAAAGTAACCAAAATTCGCATCGTCTGTCATAAGCTAAAACATACTTATAAACATATACATACAAGACGTGTTTGTAGTATGCATACAGTCATGCACATGAATATCGTCACACGCAATTCAATTTCACTTCAGCGTAGCGCCAAAAGCTATTTATTCCTTGCCAGCTTATGAATGAAGTTTTGCCTGCATTTGCCCAAGGGGCCGTTCATCAAAAGCGCTCGAATGCCTTTCCATTGCTGTCTCCTGGCCAGATCGCTTGGAGTGATGTCGCTTCCGTCAGCGGGTGTGGGTCTGTGCAGTCCATCATCGGCCAACAAGAGGGGCTCCCACGCCCGTTCTCCCCGACTGCAGTTTCGATTTGGTTCATTGGAGCGTGCCAATTTGCATTCAAAAGTTTTCGGCGTCTTTTCTTCGTTTTATTCTCCGTTTTTTCTCCGTTTTATTCTCCGTTTTTTCTCCGTTTTCGGTTGTTTTTGTTCGCTGTTTATTTTGTTGCATGTTTACATGTATTTTGTGGCATTTGGCGGCGAAATGATAAAGTGGCACGCAGCTCTGCTCTGACAGCTCTTTGTTTAGTCTGTGGCAATTAAGTTCAGCAAACATTAATTATAATTAATTTGTGGATTATTCGTTTGTCGCCCTGTTGGCTGCAGTTGTGCGACCTTCGCCTTATCAGCCGATTCGTACTTGACTTCCATCGCATCGAATCGTAATTGTGATTTCCACAAATGTAAATATGTATGGGAGGTCGTTTATTGTTACAACCAGCTGGTAATCAAATATTACACTTTATTTGCATGTATGTATGCACATATGTGTATGTTGGGAAAGCTTCGTTCCGTTTATTAATTGAGCACGTTTCTTAGTTGACGGTCTATTGTTCGCAATTTTCACTGGAAAAGGAAATGCCAGCATTGTAGGATGATGAACAAAAATGTCCAAGGCACCTTTTCCATGTCCGTGAACTTAGTTGAAATATATGCACTTTAATTCGCTATTCGATATTCGATTAATATTAATTTAAAAGCGCAGAACTACTTTAATATACAAATTTCTGAAATAAAGCAAAACACTTGTGTATTTTGTGATAAAAATGAAAGGAATTAAGTTAAATGTTATTCTAAAGTAAATAAACAAAAACTGCTGATGATGCGACAATATTTTTTATGTGTTCATATCAGAGCTTTGTTTTGTTTATATAATATACATATTTATTCGAAAACAACAACAACTAATAAATAACTAAAGCAATTTCATTGTATTTCTTTTTAATAATAAATGAACAGGAATTCACTTTAAACTTCTCGTTTGACAAGTGCGTTTCTTAATATATTTAAATATATTTTACAATTAATTGCGTTGTGTTTTTGTTTCTGTTCCCACTGCTGGTCGAAAGTTCAATGCCAGCCAGCAAAAAATTTGTTTCGGTCTCCAAAGCCCACACACGTGCTGTTCAAATTCATCAAATTGTATGCGCATTAAACTGAAGAAACAGATGAAACAGCCGGCAGACAGCAGACAGCAGGTTCAATAACACGTGAGATATTCTTCCCCCCGAAAATTCGACAATCCCATACCCAGTCACATGCATATGGCGACTGCAATTGTTTTTGGCAAAGCAGCGATGTGCCAATCAATTGTAGCAACAATTGCACGCACATACTTACATGCATGTACTTGTATGTATGTTTGTTTGTTTGTATGTTTGTGCACAATAAGAATAGGCAGGCATTTGTCGACCCATCGTTTGCACACAAATAATTATGTATGTATGAGTAGAAATTGTCACTAATTTCAATGCCAGTCCCAACAGTTTCAGCGACAGTGCAATTGTTAAGCAGAGCAAACACACACAGCGACATTCATAAGTACACACACACACACACACACACATACATATATAAGAAAAGAAATCGGAGACGCCATTACGCGTTTTTGTTGTTCGACACTCTCTTGGGCATTACGTCACAAGAAGCTCTCCACGCTATGAGCACGCTATGTACGTGCTCTGTGATTGATTTGTTAGAATTATAAATACTTTCTTGTCATGTCAGATCCCAAATGGGGTGCTTCTGTACTGCATATGACAAAATTTGAAATCAAATGTCTTTCTAAACCTTTGTCAACCAACTTAAGTCAAGCTTTTTGATGTCGAATCCGAAACTAAATAAAAAATAAACTCATATTAAAATGCTTTATCTATTAAAAAAAATCAAGTGCAAAGGCGGGAGCACTTTCTTATGTTCATTCTTTCTTATATTTATTTATATAAAATAAATTCTAAATTACAACGTATTACAGCTCCTTGTAAATAATCTCTGCTGAGCTCAATCCAGCTAAGCCGACATTCTTGAAGCTTAGCCAGTTAACATAATTCCAATTTAATTCTTATTTTTTATTGAATAGCAAATTTGTGATGATAGTTGAATTCTTACATTTAACATTTGAAATATACATTTCAAACGCCACGTACTTGCGCGGTGAGAGTCAAAAAGTTGCCATCATTTAAGGCAGTCTCTATCTCCAATGCCTAAGTCTGAGGCTCTTTATGACGTTTGTTTTTTATTTGTGTGTGAGGTTCGGATTTTGCTTTTACAGTGCTCTGCAGTCGTTTGGATTTCTGTTGATTAACTCGAGGTGTTCGCCAACCGATCGTCAGTGATAACTGCACTGCAGAGCTCAGCAGTCGAGTCTACTCTGCTCGAGAACGTGAACAAAGCGCTTTCTGATTATACATACGAATATATTTTAAAATAAGTATTTGGCATTGTGATAAATGTGCTGAAATAAAACTTGCCAAATCGTTATACTAAGTGAAAAAAGCTTAAAGGTGAATACAAGAATGTTTAAGGAATGTTATGTGAAGTGTATTGAAGTGCTCGTTTCATTAAAAAACTATCCTTTAAGGAAATTAATAATTACGAGCAAACGTAAATCTATATAAATTGTTCAACATTTAAAAAATTGCTGCACTTATAGACAAATATAATGTGTATAATTTCAAGTATTAAGAAGAACTTAATTTCTTTGTTTGTGAAGCAAATAAATATTCCTTTTAAATATTTTACATATATAATATTATTCCAGAGTCCATCCAGTCCATCAAAAATAGTACAATAATAAATGATTTTAAAATATTTGTGGCTTTTATAAACTGAGTTAATATCTATCTTTTTTTGTGAATTAGTTTTTAATAAAATTTAAAATGATTCTAAAGTAGAGCGTAAAGAAGTTCTTTGAAAATTGCAGTTAAGCTTAAAAACTGATCAACATTGTGACTTTTTATGTGAATTAGTTTATAAAAAACGTTGTAATTTTTTTATAATTTTATTGGGAATGCCAAATTATTCAATTGTTTTTAATTGCACGACCAATCGAGTGTTGAATAAATAGTAAAAAGACTTTAATTGCTTAAATTATAAATACAATTTTTCAATTCTAACAGTTCCACTTTTAGTTCAACTTTAGAACCGGTCTCATCTTGTAATTAGCCAATTCTTATTATAATGAGTGCACATTTTATTTCAAATGATAATTTAAACAACATTGCAAACAGGCCTTTTACTAATGTATTCAATTTATTGAAATGCTAAAAATAGCTTTTAAGAATCAATATTTTAAGTGTACTTTTAATGCTTTAAAAATAAAATAACCACATTTTTTTGCGCAAGATAATTGACACCATCATCAAACACAACTTGGTATATATCAATATATCTGGCAAATTGCCAATTACAACCGACCACATGAGTACGCGTAATTATGCGCGTTGAGCTCGCTTTGAACCTTGGAGAATGCCGTAAAAATACTTGTCATACATATATCATATAATGTTATTAGACAAATACGTGTATACTATATAGTAGAAATCGGCAGCTGTACAAAAGCAATTGCTAAGTAAAACTGTTAAACATAACAGTACCTGTGTAGAGGCATGCGATCTATCAGTTCTCTCAATGACAAGTAACGTTTAAATGTATATTTTTATAGCACGACATATCCCCGACACCTAAATAAACAAAAGCAGAAAAAAATTGCGAGCGCGTTTGCGAAAAATAAAACAACAATAACATTTTTATTTTATCGCGCTTATCATGCATTTTTGTGGCTGTTTAAAAAAAAATTGCAACACCGTTTATCTGAATTTTAACTGAAGTGACAAAGTTGAACCATATTTTTTTTATTAAAAGAGCGCTACAATATTATGAAATGATATATTGTTTTGAATTGCTATAGCTGCTCTGATTATCTGTGACTTTCTATTGCTATACTGCAGCTGATCTTCATATTTGTTGACCCACTGGCTGAAGATAAGACGAAAGTGTATACGTAATACTAAGTATTTGCTGATAAGAAGTAGCGCACGTCTGGGTATGCCAAAGAAAATAGGTATTGATAACAGACTTGTAGACTTAAATTATTGAATTAAACGAGACAAACAGCTGAAGCAAATACAAAGGGTTCTAAATTGTTTTTGGGCAAAACTTTCCGAGCTGTTTTATGGAGAACACTTGTACGATTATGTTGAACTTTATAAGTGCTTTATAAAAATGTTTTAATAAACATTTTATTGAGTTTTAAAAGAAGTCATCTGTCCATACATAATTATCTCCTAACATTAATATTCATAAAAAGCTTTAAGCTCGAATTCGTTTTTACAAATGCATTTTATCTATCAGCTTAGGTTGCATTTGAGGGCGAAGTTTAATGAAGTTGTCCTTGAAGAACTTTCAAGCCACTCCGCAATTACAGTTGACTTTAATCTAGACACCTTATCTAACAGTCTTGTTAAAGCAAACATTTTATTGTTCGGCAAGATTTAAAATCAAAGAGCGCCCATTTCCCTCTATTAACCGAAGCTGGACATTATTTTTGCGTATTAAACTTTAAAAATAGTAGCTAATAACGACATACTTATAATAATAATTATAATAATAATTAATAATAATTAATAATAATTAATTTTTATGAAGCTTTAAATATAAAATTCAGTCTGGCACGCCCAGAGATAAAGTTACTTACATTGGCTTACAAGCCGAATAAGGCATTGACCATAGAATGCAGCCGATCCACTTCATAAATAAATTTCTAATTAGAATGATGAAATGAACACGCTATATTTCCAATAACTCGCATATGTGCTATATAGTGTCATAGGTGTGCCGATTTCTGATAATGCCAATTGTGGCTAGGGACAGGAACTAACATGGAAGCGCCTTTTACAAATCGAATATAGCAGCACTGCTAAGCTTATTATGTCTCATCAGGAATGGCAAATGCTTTAAGCACTTCACAGCCACTCGGTGCGCACAATTCAAATGCAAATCATGTTTATGGGAGGTGTATGCGCAACCGCAAAGTGGAAACGAGACTAACACCTGATGCAATATGCAAATTGTGATATAAAACAATTAATTATTACACAAAACAGATTAAAGTTGAGATGTGATATTAATTAGGTGCTGTCGCCTAAATGACTGGCAATTTAATACCCGATTGTTGATTTTTATTGCAGATGCAGCTGCAGTTGAATCGCTTCCTGCTTTTGGCGCTGGCGCTTCTAATGTCCGGCGGCCTCAGCGAGGCAGCTCGCATACTCTTCATGGGACCGTTTCCGGCGCCGAGCCACTGGATGTGGTTGGAGCACTTCCAGCGGGATTTGCTGCGGCGAGGCCATCAGGTGACTAGCGTCAATAATCACCCCACCAAGAAGCCGCACGAAAACTTGACGGAGATCATCATCAATCCCAGCTTCGATATTCCCTTCCACTGTGCGTATGAGTAATATATTTTGTATTCGTAACATGTTATATAAATCTGCCATTGTTTCAGTTCCCAAGAAGAACATCTTTAGTATGAGATACACCAGCGATTTCCAGAATCTGCAAATGTGGTGGGCTCTTGGACTCATGACCAGCGAGCATGCACTGCAGGATGAAAAGCTGAAGCAGCTCGTGGCCAGCACAGATCAGCACTACGATTTGGTCATATTGGAGCAATTCTTCCACGAGGCCTTTCTCATGTTTGGCCATAAATTCAATTGTCCCGTCGTTACTATTGGAACTATGGGCTATGCCGATAATATGGATCATGCTATGGGCCTGTTAACGCCTTGGTCCTTTATACCACATCTGCTGTTGCCACATACGGATCGCATGAGCTTCTCACAACGCGCCTATAACGCATATCTATCGTTGTATGACTCGATAATGAGACGCTGGTATTATTTGCCCAAAATGCAGGAATTGGCTGTCAAATATTTCGGTGATGCCATTAAAGGTGAGTGTGGGAAACAAATGAAATCACGCTGATAAGTAGGCAGGTGTATGAATAATTAGAAAAAAACGCTTATATATATTTCTCTGGGTTTTGAGACTATATATTCCATATAATAGCGAGCAATAGTATATATAGATGCTTAACTGACCTATCACACTATAAAGTAATTTAAACAAAAGTCAGGTTGTATTATTTTTCCAATCCCTTTCTCAGCACAAATCTATATTTTATGATCTTTTTCTTATTGATTACAATTAAATGAAAGCTATATTTATGCCTGCTTTGGAAACCTTAACTGACTGGCAGTTTGTAGGAAAAAAAGCACAAACCTAGTGATTGATAATAATCACTTTTTTGCAGTACATTTGATTTGTAGTATAATTGGCTAATACTTCTTAAAGCACCTTAAGTAAGAGCAACGAGTACGGATTGATATTAGTTTACATAAAAAGGTGCTTATATTTATTTACATTTATTTATAGATGTGTAGATTAATATAACTTGATTGTGGGAATTATTAACGTCAGCGCTTCAATGTCAAAGTGACAATCGCATCTTCGATCTGAAAAGCGGCCTCTAATAGTCTCGTTGTTTGTCTTTGTTTTTTCAGGACCACTTCCCCATGTCCATCAATTGGAGCGAAATATTTCGCTGATGTTGATCAACAGTCATCGCAGTGTCGATTTGCCACGCCCCGGTATGCCGGGTCTGGTGAATGTGGGCGGTGCACATATCCAGCCCGCTCGACCGCTACCTGCGCACATGCAGGCCTTCATTGACAAGGCCACCCATGGCGTGGTCTACTTCAGTTTGGGGTCCTATATGAAGAGCACGGACATGCCGCCGGAGAAAACGGCACTCATTCTGAAGGCCTTCGGGCAGCTGAAGCAACAGGTGCTGTGGAAGTACGAAAATGATTCGATTGGCGAGCTGCCACCCAATGTGATGATCAGTCCGTGGATGCCACAGAACGACATTCTTGCGCATCCCAATATCAAGTTGTTCATCACACACGGCGGCCTCTTTGGCACGCAGGAGGGCATACATTGGGGCGTGCCTATGCTCTGCATACCCCTCTATGGGGATCAGCATAGAAATACCATAAAATCGGTGCGTGAGGGCTATGCGCGCTCCTTAGTCTTCTCGAAGCTCACCGTCGACGACTTGGTGAGCAACATCGAGACGTTGATCTACGAACCTCAGTACAAACGAAGTGCCAAGCAAGTGTCCCAACGTTTTCGTGACAATCCCATGCATCCACTCGATGAGGCTAGCTACTGGATCGAGTATATAATCCGGCATAAGGGTGCGACTCATCTGAAATCTCAAGGCGCTTTCATGCCCCTCTATCAGTATCTGTTACTGGATGTGCTCGCCTGTCTACTGTTGGTACTGGTGCTCACCATTTGGCTACCTTGGCGCATGTTGCGCTCCTTACGCAAATGGTGGAGTGCCACGACGGTGAAGGCGCGTGAAAGCAAAAAGGAGCTGTGAGGGGCCGAGTGCCTCCAAACTAGTTTTTAAGTGTTTTGTAAATAGCTAGGCGTATACGATGTATCGTTAACATTGCCAAGTCACAGTCACTGCAAAATAAATGGTGATATTATTTTAACATGCCACATGCCGCTTCATAATTCGATTTGCTAAGACCAGCCTAGTCATTAAGGAAAGATCAAGAGAGAGCTTTTTGCTGGTTAGTCAAGCCAAGTCATTTTGTCGATTCTGTCTCTAAGGGTCGCTGTTGCGGTGGATATTTATAATGCGAGACGCCTCTCCAAGTGTATGCCCAAGTACTTGTAGCTGTAGAGTTCTTCCTACAGCTGGTCCTTCAAGAAGACGCCAGGATGGCACATTGGCGCACTTGCTCTTTATAAAATTTTGATTCAAACTTGTAAACTCTTCTATATATAAAAGAATTTCAAAAGTTGCCTCAACATATGCCTTCAAATTATGAAGTGAAGAGAATAAAAATGTAATTGCCTACTTTTAGGCTGCGATGTATATATGTCGAACATCTTTCTGTTACTTTCTTAGCACCTTTTTAGGTTGGCTTCATAATGAGGGTAATTGATGGAATTTGATGGAAATTTAAAATGTTTTTCTGTTCAATATTTCCTTATTAAGAATGCCGGTGCTTGACTTGCGAAACTGAAAGAAAAGTTAGCGAAAAAAAGCTAAAAGAAACAGTTAACATTAATATCCGAAAATTGTATTTTATTTATTTGCAAAATTAGAGACCTTACCTAAGTGCTACTGATAAACGCAATTATAATTAATACGAGTTTATAATTTTTTTTTTTTTTTTTTTAAATGACAAATCTTAAATAGTGGCCTAAGGTAAGAAATTAAAGTAAAATAAATTGAAACGATGCAAGAAAATTGTAAATAATGGTCATATGATTGCAATATACTGATAAATTATCAGTTCGATATGCTTTAAATTAGCTATGACTTATGAGCTTGTTATTTTCATAAGTAAGTTATTAAAGAGTATCATTTTTCAGTCATGTTGTTTTTAGATCTTACATCACAACGTTTTAATTATAATGAAATTTGAATAATGAAATTTGAATAATGAAATTTATGATCACTAATAAGAAGTACATATAAATACATTGTTTGTTGATTACTTTCTATATAAACAGCTTTAATTTTAAGTTTTTTTTATAAATGAAAAATATGTTATCAACATTTTTTATCCCGGTATTTTTGCGGGTAAATTTACAGTACAGTCATCTGTGATGTTTTCATCTCAATATTTCAGATCTGACGACTCACAAGTATGGCAAATAAGAAAGAACGCTACTGACGAGCAAGTCCGAATGTAAAATACCCTTTACCCAAATAAATTTCAAGCGTTGAGTTATATGCAGCCACTGTTTTATAAATTGCAATTATTTTTGTAGCTCGAAAATAAGAGAAATCTAAATCCACCTTTCCGCTGAACTCAAATGTTATTTCATCAGTAATTTATAGCTGATATACAACATTTTCATTGCTATTATATCGTAGCCAATAGCTGCACTTGTGGCACCACAAGCACTTGCCAACAGTATTTTCTTTGTTAACTTGTTGCTGGTTGGACTAAATGGCTACCACTTTATTACGGAGATGTTTAGAATTTGCTTGCCATTGAGTTGCGTATTTCATCAGTTTTGCTGGCAGCTTAAATATCTAGCCATATTCTATGAATTATGTATGTCTCAATTAATTAAACCAAAAATAGCAAAAAGGCACATGGCACAAATATGCCGAGCACTTGGCATACTCGTATGTTGCTACAATCACGAGTGTGCTAGACAGACTCGTATTTCAATGCTCATGAAACACCCACGGGTTGCACGTTCTTTGTTCAAAGACTTGGCGAGATGAATTGAATTGAATTATGTATGCATATATGTGGATTTATGTCTATAGGTGTATGGAGTCGAAAAGCAGTTAAGCAACTTATCGCTGATAAGTTGTAGACGTTAAAATATTAGGTATGTAAAGTAGGCTGCATTCACATGACGGGGCGCTTTACACTCTTGAACTTGTGCCACTATAACGAATTCATTATGCAAATCTATTACATAATTTATTCTACTTAATGAAACCGCTTTTTGTCGCCCATCCAGTCTTTTACTTTCACTGAGCACGCGCTCCCATTTAACGGAAATTTTGTAGTTAAGCAGAGCGCCGGTCTGCCTTTTTGAAGGTTCAAGTGCGAAGTGTTGCTATTACGGTTCGATATAATAGCATAGAATAATTATAGATCTATAGGAGCAAACAAAGTAGTTTTTTTGTGCGCATCTTTATCATTTGTTCGCTTATTGTCTTTGAGAAATTTAAATGATACACATTTAGATATTGAAATGTTATTATAATAATAGAGAAAACCACGCGAATAGGTTGGGAATCTACGAAACCTTTCTACACTATAAAATATGTGGTAAAATAACTTGCTTTAATCGAAAATAAAAAACAAGCTTCACATTCTCCTTTCGGCTGCTAGAAGCCAAAACATCTGATTTATAAATGCAATTTGTTGTTTACAGTGAATATAAATACTCGTATGAATATTTGATAAACATTAGCAACATTGTTTTATTTATTTTTAATAAATTAAAACTAACTTATAAGGGGATTTCTTTTTGCAATTTTTACGTTGGTTTTTCTAGAACTTCTCTAGTGTTGCTGAAGTGTAGAAAAATTAAAAACAGTTTTGATTATTTTACACTTTTGTGCTTCATTTCTGGTAATGTGCTTTACTCTTTTAAGATAAAACGAAGAGTAATAGAAGCCATACTCGGGTGATTATTTGGGGGCAACTTTTTCTAACGGTATTCCATCATTTCACTTTTCGTTTTTATGTATTTCAAATATCATTTAAAAGATATTGTTTTACGTAATGTGACGAACCGGACCTGCCTTTATCTGGCGGTCGTCAACATCGACAGAATGCGAAGAAGAAGATCCAAATACTCGTAATGATCGTGCCTGGCACGCTAATGTTCAGACTTTGGAATGACCGATGAATTTCATCGCAAAAGGTCACTCCAAAGGCCATAGAAAACCCAACAACACAACAAGTGTTAGGCGCCATCTAAAAATGCTTTTTAATTATATAGATCTATATATATAGATATATTTAAGCATATTGATAGGCAAACCGGCTTCAAAGTTCTGTCAATTTACATATTAGAGTCAAACATTAATTGTCTGAACTGAAGCTTCGCAAATATTTAGAACATTCCATTCAAGGATGTGGGGGCCGGTCTGCGATAAGTGCTTGTATTGATGGCATGGCTAACATCCGCTTGGGAATTCAGCAAATGCTTTGAAACAAACAGTTCATAAATTTTCATTGCATTTATTATATGAGGCAGCGAATTGGTCACATGATTTTTAACAAAAAAGTGAGCGAGCAACTTTTGTTTTTTTCCTCTCTCCCTCTCACTCTTCTTTTTTATTTAACAACAATATTGGCTTTGTTGAAGCTTCAGTGTTGTTGTGTTATGTTGTTGTTGTTGTTTTTTTTTTTGGTTCCTGTTACTAATGTCTGAGGTGGCGTCGAGGTGAGCTTAAAACTTGAAACTACCAAATGAAGATTGGCATAGAGCACGTGATACTACGCTTTAATTTTGTTTTTATTTTATTTTATTTTAGGTTGTGTTTGGTTGTGTGCGCCTTTCGCAATCAAGAAACCGTCAGAAATGGTCGTTGAAATGTTATTTGAAGTAATATTTTTTAAATGCGATGACATTTGCTGCAAATTAAGGCCCTAGCAAGGTCATGTGAAGGGCAGCCATTAGCGCTGATTTGATATTTGTTATTTGTTGCTTCGCGGTGGCATTTTTGAACAACAGTGTTGATTGATTAGAAAGTTGTTGTCATAGCTTTTCAAATTACCATAACCAAGTGTTGCAATGCAGATTATTTGAAAATAAATAAAGACATTATGCAAATAAGTAGGCACACTAATTTAAGGTTTTCGACATTTGAGTTTTCAAAATATTGTTTCATCTTTATTACAACTTAACTAAAACAAAGTATTAAAAAAAAAAATTAAAAAACCCTTAGCAGTGAATGTCTACATAGTCAGCCAATGTTTAATATCCTGTAGCCTAAGCCTCAAAGGGTATATTAGGAAAAGAAACCATTTCCCATTTCATAACAACAACGACGAATCAACTTAATGTCTGTCATCTGTTCACTATAGAAACAGCTAAAATAACAGCTAAGTTGAACAGCTAAGCCCACATACTTTGCAAGTAGATTCATCTGATTCTAATCTCCACCTTTCTTTCGAATTTTATTTAATTCTCTTATGAAGAGTAATTGACATATATTGGTTTTAAGATTCTATCGTTTGATTTGTAAATATATTGATGATTAAAAGTTTGGTAAATACATATTACATGAAATATAAATGGATTACATACTATAGCTGTCCTTTTACTGAATATTACATGAAATATAAATGGATTACATACTATAGCTGTCCTTTTACTGAAAATTGCATTCAACTAATTAAGAGTTGTCATACAAATTAAAAAATTGCATCTCGAATAAAAATAGTATAGAAATGCGAAATAAGCTAAAAATTTGACACGCTTCGAAATTTGTATACATTTCAAAACAGAAAATAAAAATAAGCTATTATCTGTCACGTTTCTAAGGTTTGTATAAATTTCAAAATTGTGATTCTGACTCATTTCTTAGTAGGTTTAGCTGCTAACAACCGCTAATAAGCCACGTTCATTGACTTTATTTGTACGACATTTTGTATTGGGACTTCGAACCTACTGCGTAGATAACAAATAGTTAGTAAATTCTTTTGGGGATTCCGCGATTTTCATGAGTCAGAGACTAGACATTAGTTTCAAGAAGGTGTGAATATAGTTTCAGCGCAAATTAGCGAATAACGAATTGCATTAACAGGATATTTTTCAAAATGAACAAAAATGTTCTAAATGGCTAACTGGGGGTGTTTGCGAATTTTCCCCAAAAATTTCTTTAATAATTAAACGATTTAATAATACAGAAATAGATGATAGATTTGAGAGCAGCTAAGTAAATTTTCTTGTTTCCTATTAAAAGCCCATTAATGTGAAGCTCTCTTGTCCCAAAACTGTCCGGAATAATTCAAAAGCCTCATTTTTTCAAATCCTGACATATGTTTAAATGCGAAACAATATATATGTATATGATTGATTGATCTAATAGATGAGTGATTTATTAACCAATTGATTGATCTAAACACTGATTCATTAACTGATTGATCTGCTTAAAGTTGGACGTTGACCGATTAATTATTTGATTAAAATAAGTTTACAGATTTATTGATTGAATCGTACGATTATAGGTTGCTGAATTTATAAAGAGATTGTTTTTTTTTCACTGATGACTACCTTAAAGGTTTTTAATAATCAATAAAAACATGATTAAGACTACAAAGTTGACTGATTGCAAGCATTGATTGCTTACCTATTTCATTAATAACTTTAAAGCTTAACGTTGCCTAACTCACTGCCATATTGATTTAACTATGATAGGAGTTGAGTGGGACTGACTGATTGATTGAATTGTGATTGGAATTAGCTGATTAGTTGATAGATTTCATAATCAAATTATTCAATTACTTTTCTGTTTGACCAATTGATTATATTAGGATGGATTCTTGATTGTTTTTTTTCTTCTTTTATATATTTTAGTAAGAGATTAACAACCATTACATTACACGCCAAACTTAACAAAATGTACAAGCAGGGATTATGATTATTTATTGTTTTGTTTTTTTTTTTTTTGTGAGAACTCTTCTCAACTTAGCGTAGGGTCGACAATCAATTTATCAACGTTATTAGTTTTATGATAGGAAAATCCTTGCATGTTCGGTAATTCTAACAGATGTTTGATTTTGTAATATGCGCCACCATTTTGTGATTTATGTAAACATTGGCTTGATGTCGTATTTTAATTAGCATGCCAACACCACATCCGCTCTAAGGCTGTTGCTTTTGCTTTGTTTTGGGGTTTTATGATTACACCTGTGTGGCCAATATATGGCATGTGGCAGTCTCAAATAAGCCATCTGTCGCCATCTGTCGCCATTTGTCGCCAATATTGATATAATATTTTAGCACCTAAATGCTAAATGATATGCTTAGGCTTTTAATCAGTGCTTCTGAAATTTTATCGCCTTTGGTACTCGTATATGGCTGTGCTGGTGACTGATTAGGATAGTGGAGGCCAGGCCCCTAATAACTCCGATAGCAATAAAATAGCAGCCATTGCCCAAGAGGGGCAGACGCCCCTTGAGACCTTTGCAACTGGTACTTGCTGGCACCCGCGGTCTGTTGTTTTGGCTTACATCATGGCAGGAGCCCATATATGTATATCTATATAGCTATATAGCCGAACAATCAGCTGAAACTTGTTTTGCACAGCAACAGCAACAAATATTTGCCTCTTCATTTATTCACTCATTCATTTACTTACTTGTTGTTGTTGTGGCTGTTGTGGTTGTTGGGTCGTCTGCGGCTTCTTGTCGCTGCTTTTTGTGTAAATTACAAAAAATAATAACAAGCGACACACAGCGCGTGACTCCTTTCACATGCTAAAGACGAAATCAAAAATGCAGACAAAGGTGTTAAAACTGAAAAAAAAAACAGAATTAAATTATATTCGCATTGTTGAGGAATAAAATTGGCAACAAAGGGCTGGAGGCGCGACGCATGTGCACGTTGGCCTGATTTTGTTTTCGTTTGAACTACAATGACAACAAAAATTTGGCCCAACACCATACAAGATAGCGCCAACAAGCGTGCTATTTTGAATTCTCACAATTGCCGATATACTCTTACATAGATGAGCGAGTAAGCGAACGATTCAAAGAGTCAAGTGCATGAGCAGTGGATGTCAGATCAACCCGCAATTAAAATTGAAAACAAATTCTGAGTCTTTGTACAAAGATTAATCAGTAGTAACAATTAATGAAGAAGCCACTAACTTAACTTATATAGTTATGTATGTTCCTAAAAACGTGTGCAGACAACTAATGTGCACAACAAATAATGAGGGAGAGAGATTAGCGAAAGAGAGAAAGAGTTCATAGAAAAAGGGAGAGAGATGATGTAAGATGGCAGATGTTTAGCCGGTAGTGTAACTGAAAAAAGGACTATTAGGCAGTCTATCGGACGAGGCGAGGTACATAAATTATATAAACAGATGATATAAAATGAGAGATGATGAAATATATTAAGCAACATTATTGATTCCTTAGAGTTTTTCTTGTTTTTTTTAAATTTATTTTATAACAGAAGAACTGCTAGAGAGATGATGTAAGATGACAGATGAGCAGTATAGTTCTTTCCTTTAAAAATTTGCGACTGAAAAAGGATCTATTAAGCAGTCCATCAATCAAGATGATGTAAAATGCGAGATGATGAAATATGATAAACAATATTGTAGATTCCTTTGAGTTTTTTCTAGCGTCTCTTTCTTGTCTCTCTTAGATTCGAGAGTAAGCTCTGGCATGGCGCTACCTTGAACAAATATGCAGCAGAGTAGGCCTCAAGCTGTGTTGAAGAGTGTAAAGCCGAGCTTCGTCATCGCGTCGTCTTCGGCCCCGTCTTTACTTTCTCTAGAGCTGTACAAACACACATACAAATGGAATTGCTCGCTCTTGTGCGTATGTTTGTGTGAGAGTGGTACCGGCAAAGCTTTTGGACCTACACCACCGGTTTTTGTGTGCTAAAACTTGGCCGAAGCTTGCCACTCAACGCTTGGCTTACAGTAGATCCGTTTTGAGTGTTTTGCCTTTTAAGACGCGGCCCCAGCGCTCACAGCTTTCAGATACGTTTTTGCCGTGCCAGCGAGCGTTTGGTTCGTCTGTCTGTGTGTGTGTTTGTTGTGGTCTCGCCGTGTTTGTCGAACGCCTGAGCTGCGTTCAGTTCGTTGCCGCGTTCGTTCAGGTCGTGACGTGAACGCGCATGTCTTTGTTGCGATCTCGCTGCGCTCTCCATTGTGGCCAAGATAGCTTCGTCGTGTGTCCGATACTTTTTGCGTCAATGTGCTGCTTTGCATTGCCTGCGTTATGCTAATTACCGAAAGGATACAAATCATAGCGTACATTATCGGTTACAATCTCTTTGGCAAGACGACGTCTGACGTTTTATGATTTCTTCAAAATTCTCTTGCTTTTTGACAACAAACGCGATTTAAAAATAATTCAAATAAACAAGTGCTAAGTCAAGTAAAAGTGCAAATATCCAACGACATATATACACACACATGCATATATACATATTTATTTAAATCAATTCGCAAACGTGCCAAATATAATTTATAATTTAAAAGCTATTTATTTGTTAAGCAACAACCTACATAAATTTAAATATAAATTATAATTATTTTAAAAAAGAAGACAAACCACTAGAGAACCGGAGGACTCCTTTTTTTGTTGGCAAAATGGTCAAACAAGGGCTTCTATTTAGTTTAATGTTATGGTGAGTTGCATTTTTATTATTCATTAATGATTAATTGCATTACAAATATTTCAATACAATTAAGTAATAATTCGAAAAAACAAATGAAATCTTAATTTACTTTGTATTGAATTTATTCAGTTTGAAAATGATTTAAAAGTTTTGTTTTACATGAATTGTTCCAATAAATGTAATATTAAACATGTTTTTCTATTTTTGATTTATTTATATTTATTTACAATGTTTTGTTTTCACTTCCTAATGAATATTATCTTCTTAAAATTCGTTTTTAAATGTACTGTTGTTATCCAGAAATAGAATTTAGTTTTCCTAATAAAATTTTTTCTAGAGTTTGCTGCAATTAACTATTTTCAAGAATAGCTCTAAATAACCGAAAAAAGTTAACCAAAAATCGGTCAACATGTTAAGCTGCATTGAAAAACTCTGAAGTTAAGATTTTACAAATAATAAGTTTGTCAGGTTTAATATGAAATTGTGAACAACTATGGAAAATTAATTCACAGGCGGACTAAAAGAGTTATTTGTACCCTACGCGGTTTCAGGAAATAACTTCATTGTTAAGCAAAATCTAAATGTTAATTTTATTACAATGCGGCACTTGTTAAATGGAAAAGTGTTAATCCTTAAAACAAAATGTGTTTACAAGATGTCATCAAAGAATATGAGCAAGCCATGTAGCCAGTTATATTGCTTTTGTGTAGTCTTCTCATTCTAAAATCTTAGACAGTTAACCTTTACAAGTCTTTATGCACAGCTTGCTGAATGCATAAAAACAAAACATAATCTTCAACAACAGAATCAGCCTATGTCTAATGTTGTGGCCATTAAAATAATAATTAAAATAATAATATATGTGAGATATGCTGCCTCAGCAATTATGTTGTTATTGAGTTTCGTTTTATGTGAGCAAGCACTTAAAGTGTTAGCTTTAGAGATCATTAATCACATATTAAAGCGCGTCGCATAAGTTCAGGGCATCGGAAGTCTAGACACAGCTAGGCAGCTGCTTATCAGTAACTTCCTCCAAAAAACAGACGAGACGAGCCACGTCGAGCCGAGCCGAGCCTTGGGAAGCGCATTAATTATTAAACCACAAGAATTTGCATTTTAACAAACGTAGTAAAAACGCCATTAGGCAAAGCAAACAAAGTATTAAAATTTGACAGTTTGCTTAAAGTAATTATGCAAGCAGCAGCAGAAGAAATCATAATTTAATGAGCTATTGAAATGGACAGGCAGACGGATGGATCATGTAACCGAAAAGTATAGTCGGGTCGAGCTAATCGAGCACAATTCGAATTTGAATTTTGTTTTTTCCACTTGAACTCAATGAAGCGCAAAAGCCATGAAAAATCAATTTCATGTTGAGTCGAGTAGCTGAAAAGTTTCACTTTCATTTTCACTCTCTCACACACACACACACACACTCACAGACACACTACACAGAGATGAATATGTATTCACAAAAAAGGTATTCGTATATGTATAGAGAAGAAGCAGCTAAAATTATGGCTGCTGTGTGGTTTTTGGCCAACAACGGAGCAAGATAAAAAGAAAACCGAAAAAGGCGACCCTTTTGGCCGTTGTTATGGTTTCTTTTCAGTTTTAATGTTTGTGTGTCACGGCAGTGGTAGTTTTTTGGAACGATTACATAACCATGACTTCATTTTCATTGTGCGGCAGCTAAGGAGAGAGAGAGATAGAGAAAGAAAAAACCACATTGACATAATTTTGTTGTGTTAGGAGAGCCGCCGTCTGGCTTTCGACGCTTTTTACATAATTTATTTAGCGCGCTCTTCACGATTAGGCCTAACTTCAAACATCCGAGCGGTTTGTTAATCTCTGTCTTTCGATCAGTTTTGAAGTTAAAGGCCCAAACTATAGTCAGCCAATTTGCATGTTGACGCTAAATATAGAAAGTAAGTTTTATTTCTTCTGCAATACAGCGCAAAATTGCCTTTTGTGTTAATCAATGTTTAATTTATGCAAATTCAAGCTTCTTCTGCTATTATGCGCTTGCAATTATGTAAGCCGTGCGCATTCAACAACATGTTGCTTAGATAATTAATTAGCAAAGCTGATACGCCGATAAATTTGCTGTTTCCAACTCTGTTTTTTTTTTTAGCTGTTTGCTGGCAACGCCTACGCGACATTGAGCCGTTGCAGTTGCAGCCTTGGTCAGTTGCTGCTGCAACTTCTTTTGCTTAGTCATGCAACGCCAGCGACGCCCAGAATGCAGCCAAGCAACTTAATGTAATGTTCGCTCGCAAATTAAGCACAACGCAGCGTCGCTGCCGCTGCCTTGACGTCGCGTCGCTGCTGACATTGTCTAGTTGACACACTTAAGTCAGGCACTTAGTCGCCCCACAGAATTCTTGGCAAAATGCTCGTCGAATATTTTACAACTTCGACTAAAAAAATAAAAAAAAAAACGTATAGTATTTGACATTTGTTTATTAACTTTGCCGCTATAGTCAAGGTTTGGCCAAACAAATGTGCTCCTAATAAATACAGCTGTGCATAAAAAGCGCAAAAATGCGAGCAAAAATTACGCAGATTTGCTTTAATTGGAGCACTGGCGTAGGTTGTGTGGTCGTAAAACAAAAGACTTAGGCAACGAACTTGACTGCGCCAAATCGTGGCTGTCAAGGTTAAAAAGATTATGTTGTGGGTGTGCATAACGGCAAATTGAAGGGTGCTCCACTGAAGTTTTGGTTGATATTTATATTACTGGACAAATACTGCGACAGGGGCTAATGCATGAAGAAGAGCTATAGAATGATGTTAAAGCTGCAGAGATAATGGAAAGTTTTTTGAAGGTGGCCTTAACACTCTAGCTACTACTTTTTTCCTATAGAGTGAGAAACACCTTTTCACTACAAATTGTTTGCATGAAAGCAATAATGTTTTAACATAAAATATTATCGATTAAATACATTTATTGCTTATCTAATCATTTGTTTAAATTAATGCAATTAGGAACTCTTTTTCTGGAAATAGGTATAAATGATTAAAAATAACATGAATTTAAAGCACAAACCACTGCTCAGATTATTCACATTTGTAGCTATTTTTCTAAGCTGTCTGCTTTATTTTTAATTTGCTTGGCACATATTGAATTTTTTTAAACCAGTTGCACCCGCTTCCTACAGCCAAATTAATACCTTCATTAGCCAAACATTGAGCCATGACGTGCACACTTATAAATCAAATCAGCAGGCGCCATTATACACATCGACATATGTATCTGTATAATTGAATTGAATTCCAAACATTCAAAAACTGGCTGCGTGCAAAAAGCGCAGGCCACTGCCAGCAACCCAACTAGCCAACTTTTGGTTCTTTAAGCCCCGCCGGCCAAACATCCATAAAACGCTTTTATAATTAAATCAAAGCAAAACACGTTGTTCGTTGTTGTCGTTGTCTAGATTTTGACAAGAATCGAGAACTGCTTAAAATTCAATTAGGCAGCGCGTAAATATAAAAAAAATGACCATAAATTTAGACGCTGGCTTTGGGTTCAAGGCTGTAACAGAAACTCCATAGCAGACAGAGAAAGAAAGAAGAGCGGGAGAGAGAGAGATGAGAAAGAAGAGTGTACTCTGTACGACGATTTTTATTAAATGACAAACAAATTAAATTTGCACATTTTTGAATCGCCTGTCATTTATCATTCGTTTACTTGCCTACGATGCCACAACAATGCATTAGCTTTTTGTGGCTATTGTTGCTAATGTCTTTGGTAATTAATCTTCGATTGCAGCATTTTTTCCTTCGAAACCATCAAAAGTTGAACAATGCGCGGAGCTGGTGAAAAGTTGAATGCACGCTGCAGAGTTTCGGTTTTGTCTGAACCTTTCCCAGTTGCGCATTTCCTGGTTAAAAGTGAAAGGTTGTCCGCCTACCGGCTGACCCTGAACATATGAACATACACACTCGTACATACTTACTTACGTACATATGTGCGTTGATAAGCGCTGCAAGTAAACAACAACAACAACAAATATTCAATACTAGCCCGTTCGTTGCCCAAGTCTTTTGATGTGTGACAGAACTGGCACGCAGCGGCAACGGCAACGGCAGCAGCTACTCGTATAGGGGGCTGCCGAAAAAATATGAAGGAAAAATTGGCACAGCACAGCATTTTTGTGGTTTCAACTGGTTATTGCGCTGACCAGTTGTCGTCATCCATACTACAAACAGGTTAACTCAAAAAATAATAAATAAGAAAACCGAAAACAAACCGCTTAGGTGTCTCGCCCCTTGCCAACTTTTTTTTTTTTTTTTTTTGGTATTGTTGTTTGTCTCCGCATGCAGTTTTGAGTGTTTGCATGCCACTTAGCCAGGGCTGGCACAGTGTGTGTGTGTGTGTGTGTGTGACACAATCAACCAAATATATTGACAAAATAAAAAAAAAAAACAGAAACAAAAATGCTGTTTCACAACTGGTTTATTTGGGTTAAAAAGAAATTTATGAGCAGCAGGCGACGCGACTGGCATAGCTTTAGGTACTGTCCCGCCCCCTCCCCTTCCCCCCTTCAAACAGCAGCGCATAACGGCACGCGGTACATTTCAGTGTTAACGGCAGCATCCGTAAAAATAGCAACAACAACAACAGCAGCAACAAAGCTTAACACAAAATGCCACCAAAATATACGCAACGCCTACAGATAACGACGCAGAAAGTGAAATTTTTGTCTGTACACACACACACAAATACTCTCGCATACACACACACACACACACACACAAACGTACATATGACAGCCACAAGACGTAATCGACATCAGGAGTATAAATATAGGCACCCGGCAACCGTACCCAACCAAAAAAACTCGACTGGCACTCTTTTTTGTTGTCGTTTTTCTGCACTACTATTTTGTTGCCATTACTCTGACAATAGTGGTTGCTGTTGTTGTTGTTGTTGTTGACAGTGGTGGCGGTGGTGCTGCTGTCGATTTCAACAACGGAACTAAACGGCTTAGCTTTGCTTAGCTCTC